TACATCTATGGTTTGCATCAAACAAAAATGAAGCACTGCAGTGAGAAATATACACTTTGCACTATTGTTTTTATGTCAATATAATTACCAGAAAAAACGGACAAACGAAAGGAAGAAACGTCTCAATTCTGCCACTCTTTAAAGGTTTAGGTTTGTGTTTGTGTCATTATAAATGCTTGGTCTCATTATGCGCTGATTTACATTTTTCTGTGTTTGTGGAAAACAGCCGACCCAATATATGAGCGGCGCAGAGCATCCTCGCGATGACCACCTGCGCAACACTGTTCTGTCATGAGCCGAAGTTTCAATTTAAACTTAGTAAAGTCAAGCTTCTTTCGCAAAGATCTACACTGTTAGATTTTACATTTAGCGTCTGATTGCGCTGAACGCAATGCATCGAGATTTAGACCATTAAACAGATGATCCACTCCGAGTCTTTCAGCAGTCTCTCTGGAAACACTGGATTGATCTCGGCTGGCGGATCATATCACCACGATCGCTCTCATCACCGCCAATATTTGTAACTTTTAATGGGATTGCAAACTTGTGTACTTTTCATTGCTTCTTCTTCAGATTTCAGCTGTCACAAAAGCCTCCATCTCAACTAGTGCGCCTGAAAAGTGTGAGCGCGTCGCGTCACGTGCGCGTCCCTCCATTGGAAATAATAAACTTGCATGAGCTTGCTAGATAATAGTTAATAGAGTCAGTCCATGCTTTTCCCTACATTCATTCTTCCATGGCGTGGCGCCACGCCAAAATTGATCCGGCCACGGCTACGTTTCGGCTTTTAATCCAAAACATTCAGTCGTGTTTTTTAATAGCGGATTATAATCACACCAAAATGCATTAAAAGGTAAGTGAATTATAACAGCGCAAACTTTTCTGTAACCGTAGTAGTGCTGTGCGTCATTTGTTTAACCCTTCAAGGTTACGTGCCAACTGACTGGCTGATTGACAGGTGCGTGATGCGTGAGCCGGCAAACACAACGTATAGCTATTTCACTTTACTTCAGGACACATTAATACAGCTCTGTAGGTCTGTTGGAGACATTCATAAATATTCCTAGCAAATGTTGGAGACATACTCGTTACATAAACGCACTAAATCGCGCGTTTATTTGAGAGCGCACAAGAAGATCTGTGCTTGAGCAGTGTAAGAAGTTTTGTGCACGAGCAGATAAAACCGGCGCGCAAGCAGAGAGATTCGCATGCTCGTATGCTATTACATAAATGCAATCTTGACTACTACTGCGATCGTACATTTGTCACTGAAATAACGCCACAGGTAGTCGGTAGATCTGTGCATAAAAGGCCTGACGCCAAAGCTGGAAAACATCCTAGAGGAAACACTGCAGTCATAGTTAATCCAATGTGCGTGGTTATTAGTCTTGGTGTACAAACTAGCGCACAGTTGGCATAACTTTGTTTAGTTGCCGCAGATTTGATTCGTGCAGAAACACAGTGTTGAGAAGCCTTTACGATTAATTAACCATGACTAATTAAAGTGAGGTTAATAGTGAAACCGGTTAATCGTTGCATCCCTAGTTGGTGGTTCATTGCACTGTGGCGACCCCTGATAAATAAGGGACTAAGCTGAAGAAAAAGCAATGAATGAGTAAAAACACATGCAAATGATATACATTTTGGTAAATTTATGCTTAAACTTTCCAATGACTCCACAAATCATGCTTGTGGGTTGCTAATTAACCAATTTGCAGATCTTCCAATGTGACCATTGCAAATACACACATTGTGATATCAATGCTCAAACAATATGCTGTGCAGCGCTAGTTGTAGCTGTGGGAAAAACAATATGGAGCTGTAATTTACTCTAAACCTGCCGGAACTACTTTAGCTGTGTGTTTATCTGACAATAACCAAACACCTGAGAGTGATCATCAGCCAATCAAGCATTCTGCAGCCCCGTAGTATAAATTATAGTAATTACCAGAACAGACTGACAGACTTGCAGTCAAACATGTTGTTGAGTGATTTGTATCTCCTGTACGATTCTTTCAAAGGTCTAATTTTCACGCTGTTGACGTCACGGATATATCTGTATCTTATCTGACTGATGAACTGGAAAATGATCTTATCTGAGCAGGAACAGGACGTTACATGCAGGAAATGAACTTTTTCTCAAATGCTGTGTTTCTTTTTACTTTTTGATGTGGGCAGTGATATTAATCTTTATCTTTGTGTGTGTGTGTGTGTGTTACTGCTGAATTAATCACTTTTGTCGCTAGACATACTTTTTAATTATCAAATCAAATAAAACCATTTACCTCACTAAATTAAAATGTAAAACACGAGTCTTCATGATGTCCCCCTTAATGACCACATGCAGAAGTGAACATATTTAGGATGCCTGAAGGTATTGTCTACAGGATTTTTCCCCACTTGAGTTTCAATCAAATTTAAAACACGAGGAACAAAATGACACTAAATAATCCATCAAAAATGACTCGTCTAGAAATGAAACATTACGTTTTTATGATTAAGTTATTTAATTATTAAATAAAAAGAGACAAAAACGATTAATAAAATGATTTGTTGTTGTTTACAATGCTAATTTTTAATAATCACAGGCCACTTTATTAGGTACACCTTACTAGTCCTTGCCTTTAAAGCTGCCTTAATCCTTGGTGGCAGAGATTCAACAAGCTGCTGGAAATATTCCTCAGAGATTTTGCTCCATATTGTCATGATAGCATCACACAGTTGCTGCAGATTTGTCGGCTGCACATCCATGATGCCAATCTCCCGTTCCACCACATCCCAAAGCTGCTCTATTGGATTGAGCTCTGGTGACTGTGGAGGCCATTTGAGTACAGTGAACTCATCGTCATGTTCAAGACACCAGTCTGAGATGATTGAGCTTTATGACATGCTGCGTTATCCTGCTGGAAGTAGCCATCAGAAGATGGAGACACTGTGCTCATAAAGGGATGGACATGGTCAGCAGCAATACTCAGGTAGGCTGTGGCGTTGATGCTCAATTGGTACTAATGGACCCAAAGAAAATCTCCCCCACACCATTACACCACCACCACCAGCCTGAACCGCTGATACAAGGCAGGATGATCCATGCTTTCATGTTGTTGAGGCCAAATTGTGAGCCGAGCATCCGAATGTGTCAGCAGAAATGGCGATTAGTGACAAGTAACTAGTTACTGTAGTTCAGATATATATTTTAGGGTTTTCTCCTAAAAAGTCTAAAATTGAAAAATCAAAATTTTAGGCTTAAAAATGTCTTAAATTCTCTGTTCTAGGTATTAAATATTTCTGCACAGGTCTTATTTTTCTGATGTAACGCTACATCTAATGCTCATTTTAACTCTTTTTCGTTGTTGTTGCTTGGTTTTCGTGGTGTTGTAGTTGTTTATTTCACTAGTCCTAATCCTGCGGTATTACAACTACAATTGAGACCAACATGCAATAGCCAATCAGCTCTCTGTTGTTTAACTCAGTACGTGCAGTGAATGTGACGTCATCGCAAAGTTTGTGTAGGTTTGCTTGAAGTGCGTGTGACTCGATTTCGGCTGGTGGAGCGCACATTTTTTTGAGACTCTGGTAAATATTTCGTGCAGCATCGCGCTTGATTTGAGTTCAATATAAAGCACTTTGAAGAGATTTTGTCTGAAACAGGTACGACTGTACACACATCTTGATATAGGGAAAGCCAGATGACCAACAATTCTTGGCTAGAAATTGCAACAGCCGTGGGAAAGGAGGAAAGTTTTTGTAAAAGAGGCCATGGCAAAAGTGGACACCCAGGTGGTTTTAATATTACAGAATATGTTTTTCCATCAGTCATAGGTTTTACACTCATGTAAAAGTCACAATTTAGATTTTAAAGCAATTTAATAGTTACAAAATGAAATAAAGTAAAATAAAGTAAGAAATTTTGTCTTCGATAACTGGAAAGAAATATTTTAATCTATCAGTTTACAGTATACTGATGCCCAATTTCTAGGCTTTATTGGGTGTTAATAGTAAGGAATTTTGGACCATTATTCCCATTTTAGCTTATAAGTACAGGGCACAAAGTAGTCAGACAGTAATAAGTGAATTGTGGAGTGGGCAAAATAAAAATAAAAAGTCAGTATTTTTAGTAAGTGTCCTCTTTTTTTTTTTTTTTTTTGCTTTTATTCTTGCCATAATAAAAATATATAATTGTAGAGCAAGTCATGTTCTGTAGTCAATAATATTTAACTTTAATAGGTTGAACTGTCTGAGATATGAACAAAAGCAAGTGATGTATCAACGTTTGATTTAAAAACTCATGAATGGTTATAAAAATTATTATAATCGTTATAAAAAAAAAAAAAAAAAAATAATAATAATATGACTTAATTCCTGAAACTTTTTACTTCTCTGTTTATCCATCTGACTTTACGGTCAGTTTCTTTTGACCACCCCCTGTCATTATAAGTAATGTCTCAATGGTGAACGCGGCAAGTGTAAAAGCGTGCAGTCAGCGGAGGTGCGCAATGCAGCGCCAGGCGAAAGTATAAATCAGCCTTACAGTTCAATTTGAATACATTTATTTTTCCACCAATTTTGTGATTTTAGCATTTTCTCTGTATGTATGCATGTTTTGGATATTATGATACAAGTCTTAAATTTAATAATTAATGGTCTTAAAAAGATCTTAAAGTCTTAAATTTGACATTATGATATCTGCAGAAACCCTGTATTTACTTTTCAGTCCTTTAATTACAGTTACTTATAATATACTTGCCCTAAATAGTGTGAATAAATTCAGCAGTTCTGTATAAATCATAAATTCAAATAAGCAGAGTTATTATATATGTGAAGTTTATCTGTAAACGAATTTCGAGAGGAGCATGTGCTCATGATTGTTCTCAGCTGTTCCAGCGTCAGCTCATGACCAATTATAAATAACCAAAGTTTTCCTATCTCAATGTCTTTGTCTTGAAGAACCCCCCCATTCTCACCAAGACTTACGCTAGTAAATTATTGTTGTTTTCTTCTAGACGTGCTCTCCCAGTCCTGATGACTCCCTGACCTGCTATCATGGAGAAGAAGTTCTGCAGTGTGCTTCTGCAGCATTCCAGTGCGCTCACCAGCGCTCCCATCATGCCCTTCACCCCGCCGTATGCTTCACAGCCTGTCAGTGATTGGCTGAATGGCCTGCGGCTCGACCAATACAGCGTAGCGTTTCAGGAGGCCGGATTGGGGACGTTGTGGCAATGTCAGGATTTAACCTCCGGCAAACTGCAGCGTCTGGGCGTATCTCTGCCCGGACACAGAAAGCGGATCCTCGGCAGCCTGCACAAGCTCTTCCCATCAGAAACTGGGATGGAGGATGATGAAGAGCGTGATGAAGACAAACCCGTCGCCAGAGAAAGAACCAAATTCCGAGACGGGACGCCAGAAAACTGTGTATTATCTAAAAATCCGCCTCCCGTCCCGCCTCGAGTTACCGCTAACCGGCCTCCTGTTCCCTTCACATCCACAACACTGAGTCCTGAACACAAGACCACGCCCACTCCTGCAGATCGAGCAACGCCCACTCATGTTGAACGAGCCACGCCCACTCCTGCAAATCGAGCAACGCCCACTCATGTTGAACGGGCCACGCCCACTCCTAGGCCACGCCCAGAACACTTGGCTCTTAAAGGGCCGGCGCCGCAGCTTCAGAGCAGAGCGTCTCCTGAGACTCCCTCATCTTCTTCTTCCTCATCTTCATCGGAGCGGTTTCACCTGTATGAACAGTGTTCCTCACCTGCTCAGGTGGATACAGGTGCTCCTCCGCTTCCTCCAAAGAGCTATGCTGTGGCTGTTTCTAAAGAGCATAAAGATGCTCCTCCGGTCCTCTACAGGCCTCCTATTCCACCGCCTCGGGGCTCCGTCTGCACCAGAAACCTGCCGTCCGGAAGCCCACCTGCTCTCAGGTACAGGAAGCTGTTTTTCTGTTTAATGTAGAATATATAGGGTGAATAATTATGCAATATTTATGCTTTTTTTCTGCTTTTATCTTTTCAGCTGCTTTATAACTTCAAATATTTGTCATAAATATGAGAACCTTAAAGGGTAAATCTCCAACACAATTCTTTTAACCATCACAATGTCCTTTCCTGCAATATCTGAAAATGTATTGTCTGTGTTTGGGTTTAATAACTAATGTTATATGATGCATTTCAGTTTGAATATCTTTGTTTTGGATTGTTTGCATTTGACAGGGTTTCTGAGGGGTCTTAAAAGGTCTAAAATGTAAAAAATCTAAATTTTAGGCCTTATAGGGCTCTATTTTGACAATCCATGTGCAAAGCGCAGGGCGAAAACGCATTCAGGGCATGTCAGAATCCACTTTTGCTAATATAAGGAGGCAAAAATCTGCTTTGCGCCATGGCGCATGGTCTAAAAGGGTTGAGCTTATTTTCTTAATGAGTTATAGGTGTGTTTTGAGAATAAACCAATCAGAGTTTCATCTCCCATTCCCATTCCCCAGTAGCGTATCGCCATAGCGCATTTGCTATTTACATGACGACTTTGTAAGTGGAAAAACTGAGCATTTCACTAGCAAGAAACCAGTTAAACAGAGCATCTGCAGCGCGAGAATGAGAGATAAGGCCTCTCATAATCTACTTTCACTCTCGTGGATAGGGAAACCTTGTACACACAGACATCAGTTAGCCTATAAATGACTAATTTCGTTTGTTAAGCGCAAAAATTTGTTTCAAAACTATTAAATTCAGTTCTAATTTCCAGCAAACGAATAAATGAACAATAATGACAAAGTGTGTTCAAACAACTGAGTGATATCCTAAAACACATGCTGCGCCCCATATGGTCTAAAACCTGACAGGTGGACAAATCTAAGCTTGTTTTTAATAAAGCAAATATAAATATGGATATAATAAATAATACTGCTAATAATAATAACATTATACAGAAGCAAACTGTTATGAATGAACTGAAAAAGCCTCCCGAGATGAAGAAGCCATGAAGGCAGTGGTTTTATATTTATGTAGGCTAGAAAATACTATGTTTTATAATATTTTAATCCTTTATATTCATATCCTATACATATCCTTAATATTTCTTAAGAGGACAGCAGAGTCGCACAGTTTTCTTTACCACGTCCGTGATGGTTGAAATTTAAGGTTATGTTTTGTTTATTTGAATTTGTTTATGAGTGAAGATTAAAAGTCAACATCTGACAAGAACTTCACAGAGTTCTGTACTGGACATCATTAACCTGCATTCTGCTCACGGGGCAGCAAGAAAATAGATGAAGGAGTGGAGCTGCGGTAAAATAATGAAGACAAGATTGAGGATATGCTCAAATAAATAAATAGATAAATGAATAAAGTGTGACTGCTCAGAGAGCAGGCTGCTCGGGACAGCGGCCCTCGTGGCCAAAATACGGCCTGGCTCACCGGGAACACTCCGGGTCCTCCTGATTAGCCAATCCGGGCCTGCACAGCATATCAACACATTTCAAATCTTCATTTACCACACTAACAGTGTCAGCTGAAGATGAGTGCAGTGCATTGTGGGAAGCATCACCTGACACTGTGTTTTGGACAAATGTGTAGTGAATGACCCGCTCAAACTAAATTCTGCCTGTTATGCACATACTGCAGGAGTAATGAATAATGAAGCGCATCATCATCATCATCACAGCCTGAAAACTCATCATGTTTCACAATGCACTTGCACAAACACCAGTGCTTAGTGTTTCCTGTCCTCTGACTGGAGGTCACTGAGTCATGTGACCTGTAGACCAGCACACGGGTCACACACACACACACACACACACACACACACCAATGGAAATGAGTCAGGGCTGGAAAATGCTGTTTTTCCCAGCAGTGTGTGTGTGTGTGTGTGTGTGTGTGTGTGTGTGTGTGATTCAGCTGAGGATTATTAGAGTCTTATAAACAGCCTTATGAACAGCGCCGCCCTCTGGTGCTCACAGAAACTGCACACTCATGTTGTGTGTATATCAGGTCACTGTATGCTCGAGCTGCTCAATATGTCGTTTCAGCATGGATGTGCAAATCTGCAATGTCACTTCAGTTTGAGTTTATTCACCCAATAGGAAATGTGAGTGGGATTATTATAGTTGACTTTGTGACGTTTAACCTCAATGGAGTGAACGTTAGTCATGTGCTTGTTTGCTTTGTTTTAAAGGCTTAAGAAAGAAGAAGTTTATTTAAACTAGGGCTGAACAATATCTGGTTTGAGCATCGATATCAAATGTTTGTTTGTGCAATAGTCACATCACAGGGTCAGATCATTTATTGAAGATTAAACTGTAAAAAATATTATTCAATATTAGAATTATTTCATTGGGTGGCTCGGTGGTTACAATTTCACGTCACAGAAAGAAAGTCGCTGGTTTGAGCCTCAGCTGGGTCAGTTGGCGTTTCTGTGTGGAGTTTGCATGTTCTCCCAGTGTTGGCGTGGGTTTCCTCCAGGTGCTCCGGTTTCCTCCACAGTCCAAACACATGCACTATAGGGGTTTGATTACCAAACTGGCCGTAGTGTGAGAGTGTGCTTCCCTTTAGCTTCTGACACGTATAACTTCATATTATTATTTAACATTTATAATCAGTGCTTTACATATTCAGTTATTCTACGCCAGGGGTGTCCAAACACCTGGAGGACAGGTGACCTGCTCCAACCTGCCTCAACACACCTGCATGGATGTTTCTAGAAAGCCTAGTAAGAGCTTGATTAGCTCGCCCAGGTGGGTCTGATTGGGGTTGGAACTAAAGCTGCGTCCCAAATGGCACACTATACACTATGCACTCATGCACTATGTACTTATGCACTTACACACTCAACAGGATGGTATATGTATGTAGTGTCGTCCCAAATGGCACACTGTTTTTTTACTAAGCGGAAATTCAACCCGTTTCCCTGATGACGTTTGACGGTCGCCAAATCAGTGAATTAAATGACCGAATTATCAAATAATACCTGCCGTGAGTATAACCGCATTCACCATCGGGAGGCGCTATAATCACTCTCGTAGGAGAATTTTGCTTTCACTATCCAAAATAAATAAAGTTATCCAACATGTGCGTCCGATAGCTCCGCCCCTTCCGCTACATAAGCAAACCTGCGGTGGTTGAGTGCGTGAAGTGTCCATCATTACACACTACTTTAGCAACTGAATGAGTGCATCATCCGGGTAATTAAAGTGCTCTTATTATTTGTAGAGTTTTCAATGTGAACACACTACTTACACTCTTTATACTACAAAATGGCGTAGAATAGTGCATAAGTATGCAATTTGGGACGCAGCTTATGCTTTGCAGCCCTACATGATCGAGCTTAAACATGCCTGTTCTACACAGGTCATCAGTCATCTCATAGCAGGCTCCAATAACCTCTGTGGGCTTATTTTACACATACCCAACTTAGCCTGGCTCATGTTTACTGCATACTTGTTGAAAATATGAACTGAGAGAATGCTTCACACTGAATAAAAAATCTTCTTCAGCCACCAGGAAAAAAATGGCCTGCACAGTAAATACAAGCTTATTTATGCACAAACGTAAACAGACATGTCACGTTGTGGTCTTCTAAGAGCGTCAGATGAGTTGGTGTGTGTGTGACTGGATGCTCTGCTCAGTCTGTCTCTGTTTGTTTTTCTGTCTTGAGCACTAGATGGCAGCAGTTCTTCTTTTTCAGTCGCTGTCGCTTCCTCAAACCGTCCTCCACTGACCCACAATGCCATGCATGACGTGTGTGTGTGTGTGTGTGTGTGTGTGTGTGTGTGTGTGTGTGTGTGTGTGTGTGTGTGTGCGCGTGGGGTGTGTGAGATAGTCCAGCCTCCAAACGCAAACTCAGCCTTTTCTCCAGTGTGTTTGGCAATGAGATTCTTCAGAAAGATCTTTTACTGTCAGAAGGTGATTCACTTTCTTGAGAAAAGGTGTTTGGGAAAATTGTGGATGTTATAATGGTGATTTATTCACGTTTGACTTTACATCTTCATTATTACAGAAAAAACACACTCTTACTATTATACACTATTATACACTACTCACTATTATACACTGATGTAATCATAAGAATCTTTATTTTTTTAATTTTAAAATTAATTTAAGAGTTAATTTACTTTATTTAAGAGTTTATTAATTGTAATTTTTAAAATGTAAACAAAATTAAAACCAAATTTACTGTTTAATTCCTAGACTTTTTTTTGTTTTGAACCAGGAAGAAACATTATATTCATTCATTCATTTTCTTTTCGGCTTAGTCCCTTTATTAATCAGAGGTCACCACAGCGGAATGAACCGCCAACTTATCCAGCGGGGGATGCCCTTCCAGCCGCAACCTATCACTGGGAAACAAAACATTATATTAATATTAATAAATATATACTTTACATTTAAGTAATAAATCATATTTCTCAAGTTACTCATCATGACACTTTTTTTTCTTAAAAAAATAATTTTATAAAAATTAAATAATTACGAATACAGTAAGATGAACACTTAGTAGCCACTTTATTAGGTACACCTGTCCTTCTGCTTGTTAACGCAGATGTCTTATCAGCCAATCACATGGCAGCAGCTCACTGCATTTCAGCATGTAGACATGGTCAAGAGGATCTGCTGCAGGTCAGAGCGAGCATCAGAATGGGGAAGAAAGGGGATTTAAGAGACTTTGATCGTGGCATGGTTGTTGCTGCCAGACGGGCTGCTCTGAGTATTTCAGAAACTGCTGATCTACTGGGATTTTCACGCACAACCATCTCTAGGGTTTACAGAGAATGCTCCGACAAAGAGGAAATATCCAGTGAGCGGCAGTTCTGTGGGCGCAAATGCCTTGTTGATGAGGCCAGAGGTCAGAGGAGAATGGCCAGACTGGTTCCAGCTGATAGAAAGGCAACAGTAACTCAAATAAGCACTCGTTACAACCGAGCTCTGCAGAA